TCGGAATATGGAGCATATTGGAGGGAAAAAATGAGCGGGGGCTGGAGCGCAGCTAAATGCGAGCGTAAATGCGAGCCGTGTGGTAGCACAGGAGAGCACTCGAGCCGCCTTCTGCCTTCCGCACACCATTAATTGGGTGAATTCGTGAACTATGTCCACTACGGCTGATATTCATAGGTGCGCGAGCTGTGGCATGAATAGTCACCCCGTCAAACCGTGTGAATCAAGGTGATCGATCACCCGATCATTCGGCGTGTACCGGCAAACACTTTGCTCTTGACCGCCGACTTTTGCTCGACCTCCACCCGTTAACATTCTTGCTGAGTGAATCTCGGCGCTTCCGTGCACAGTCTACGTCATGCCTTCCAATCCTAGCGTGTACTCAGGAATCCTTCGATCCAGCTAGACTCCGAGTCGATGTCTGAGACATCCCTTCTGCCCCTCGCCAGTCTCAGCTATCCGCACCACCCAGGCCTGGCGATTCTGCTCTCGAATGTACTGGAATCCAGCCCGAACGTCCTAGTCTCCGAGTCTCCCGACTTGCCCGTGAGACAAGCCCCCTGCTCAAATGATATAAAAGGGCTACGCTCTGGCGGTAGTATCTCCATATCTCTCATTTAACAACTTAAGAACTTCACAATGCTTACCACTACTTCTCTCACTCTCCTGCTCACCGCCTCTCACGTCCTTGGCGGTCCCACTATCGCCAAACACAGGTGAGTTTCCGTCTTCATTCCTTCTCGCTCCCACTTCTAACTTCTTTTCAGAGGATGCGCGACTCATATCGAGCCCGAGGACATCGTCATCGCGGAGCGCCACTTTGACGCTAACAAGACCGAGACGGACAAGATTGCCAACACGGCGGTCAAGGTATTTACTGTTTCCCTACTGGCAACACACCTTCTAACAACACCTTAGGTATATTGGCACGTCATCAGCAAAGACTCGACGTTAGCTGGGGGAAATATTCCGTATGTCGTAACTCCTCTCCTAACTGCGACTTCCAACTGACATTTTCAAACCCAGCGACTCCCAAATTACGAGCCAGATCCAAACGCTTAACACCGACTACGCCGGGAATATTACTTGGACTCTCGCCAATACCAACCGGACAGTCAACGCCGACTGGTTCAACAACGCCGGGCCCTCGACGTCGCAGCAAACAGCCATGAAAGCTTCGCGGCAGGGCGGAAAGGGCGATCTCAACGTCTATTCCGTGGGGTACGCCGATTTCTGGCATTCACCGAAACCAACTCATCACCGTCGGTAGATTCGTCAACGGCTCAGGCGCCGGTCTCCTCGGCTACTCCACGTTCCCGTCCTCATACAGCGGTGCGCCGCAGGATGACGGGATCGTCATCCTATTTTCCAGCGTCCCTGGCGGCTCGACCAATGGCTACAATCTTGGACGGGTACGCCGACTCATCTCACTTCATCTCGCAGATTCTAATAACTTCGCAGACCCTCACACACGAATCAGGACACTGGCTCGGACTATACCACACATTCCAGGGTGGGTGCACCGGGTCCGGTACTGCCACCGCAGGCGACTACGTCGCCGACACGCCCGCCGAGTCCTCCGCCGCCTCAGGCTGCCCCTCTGGACGTGACACATGCACTGGCACTAGCTTCCCTGGCCCAGATCCCGTTAGTGAGTACCCTTCCTCTTTCCAAGTCGTCGGAGCACATATTAATATGGACATCCAGCGAACTTCATGGACTACTCCTCCGACGCCTGCATGACGCAGTTTTCCGCGGGGCAGATGGCCCGGGCGACGACGCAGTTCTCAACGTATCGGACGTGAAACTGGGTTGATCGCTGGGCTCGTCGGAATTAGATAATCCAAAAACACTAGATAATACTTCTTTGTTTGGGGGCATCTGCATCTGGCGCTGAATGAAATATTTCCTCCTTATCACGCTCTCCAGTTTGCGCGGCGCAAGTGCGATTCCTGGGATTATTTTTGTCTATTGCCAAGCCTAGTTTCCGGACATTCAACAATGCTGCTCGTGTCTGATCCTATCTGATGTTCTGTTTCAGGTGTTTACTTTCACCAAATCAGAGAGTTAGCTCTAAAGAGCGAGCCATTGATGAGCGGGTTAAGACCCGCAGGAATAAGGATTGGGGAACAAGTTAGCATACCCACAGAATCAAACGAATTCTGCGCGAAGAGATCCTTGGCCAGGTAGGAGTGAATCTTTTCCCCAAGTTGAATGTGTGTACGGCGTGATAGTGCGAGGGTCCGGTTAAAATTGATTGAATCGCCCAACGGGCTTGCTTGAATCCGTACATCTGGACAGACTGATGGCCTGCCCCGAGTCGAACGGGGGTCTCTGCTGTATCCAGATCGCAGTGTTATGGAATACAGATGCGCATCGAGCGCTAAAAAGCCTTCCTGCAAGCATTTAATCCTTGGTCATATTCTACGGCTCGAGCGAGGGTAAATTTCGTTCGAGTGGAATAATGGGTTCCGAGATGTTCGGAAAACATGGATTCTAACGGTGCAGAGCTCTCGAGAACGGAGTAGGCTGAGTCTCGGCAGCCTACATGGGCGCCGTTTAAAATGGCCGGGCCCCACATTATACTAAACGATTTCAATTGTGTGTCCGTGCACATGCGCGTAGCGCACTACCAAGCCTTCCAGCTGAGAGTAAGTTGGGATACTCTGTGGAGCGGGGAGGAATACTTGGATTATTGGTGAGGTTGAACTTGAATGCGTGATCGCCTGCCAGCCCGGGTTGAAGAAATATTGAGCACAGTTCATCCTCATTCGATCTCCGGAGACTCCATTGACACTTTCTAAGAGGCGAGGGGAATTTAAGGAAAGTTCCCGAGCCTTATCTGGCAAATTTCAAACTGACAAGGTTCGAGATTGGTCCGAGATCAAGCCGGGATGCCGACAGCACCGCCACAGGTTCGCTTTTCAATTCTCTGTTTCTTTCATTTCCCAACAAGTTCAAAGTTGGCGTGCCCCCGCCGCAGCAGAACGCCGGCTACGGCCTCCCTGCCGGTGGGCCACTCGGCTACTGTGCATCTCCCTCCCCTTGCCCTCTCCCTCCTCCCGATCACCCCCGATCTGACGATTGTGATTAGGCGCCGGGTACGGCACCCCGCCCCGTACGGCGGCGGCGAGCACCCGGACAGTTTCGCGTCCCACGCCCCTGGTGCAGATCCCCAATGCGCAGCTCTCCTGATGGCGTAGCTTTCGTTCTCGAATGGGCTGGCGGTAGGCTGTGGAGCTGGTTCACGTCGGTCGACACAGACAGATCGGGCGCGATCACCGCAGTGGAACTGCATCGTCTCTCCCTCTTTCCTCGTGTGTGTACGTCGTCTGATGCCCGCGCGCAGAGCGCGCGCTGATCAACGGCGATTGGACCGGTGCGTCGCGCCCCATCTCTCTCTTTCGAATGTACGGGGCTTATCGTGCCGCGTAGCGTTCGCCTCGGCACCGTCAAGCTCCTCATGACCATCTTCGACCGGACCGCAGCGGCACGATCAGGCTCAACGAGGGGCGTTTGCGTCTGTCTTCTCTTTATTCGCTCCTTCGTCTTCTGTCTTTGTTCTATGCTTCGCCCGGGCGTGTGTGGCGAGCGCCATCACGACGTTCGCCTCCCCAATTTCCATATTTGCCGAGGAGTGGATGTCGCGGCGCCAGGGCGCGTTGCTGCCGCTCCTCGGTTGCGTCGGGACCGCTCTCGGCAAGTTGCTGTTGCGCATCCCGGGCGATCCTGTGGTCCTGTGCGCTGCAACGGCAACGGTCCTCCTCCCCCTTTCCCCATCCCCTCAAAAAACATTCCACTCACACCGGCTGACTCACACCCGCCCCCACCCAGTTCGCCGGCCTCTGGAAATAATCAAAGACTGGCAGAACGTGTTCAAGCACTTCGACCGCGACCGCTCCGGGTCGATCGACGAGGCCAACTTGAAGCTGCGCGACGCGCTCGCGCAGTTCGGGTACGACCTCAGCCCCGCCGCGCTGCGCCTCGTGCAGCTCAAGTATGGTGCGTCTCCGTTCCCTTTCCTTTCTTCCTTCCCTCCTCCCTCATTCCTTATTCCTTCTTCCTCCTTCGTGTTTCTTCCTCCTCCGTCCATTGGACGAATGCTCAGTCGCCGACCCCGTCACTAAAGGCTCCGCTGCCGCCGCGGGGGGAATGCCCGGAAGGCCGGGACATGCCGGAGGAGGCGGCCTCCGGGCATCTCGTTCGACCGCTTCGTGCGCGCGTGCGTCATCACGAAGCAGCTGAGCAAGGCGTTTGGAAGGCTCGATGCGGACCGGGACGGATGGATCCAGATTGGGTACGAGGGGTTTATGGAGACGGTTTTGAGTTTGCATTGAGTGCGGGAGCGCAGCGATATGCGGGCGCGAAGGAAGAGGAGGGAAGGGGAAGTAGGGTGAAGCAAGGGGAAAGGGAGAGAAGGAAGGCAGATGTAATCCAAACCAAACCGAGTCCCGTTTTCGTTTTATTTTCTCTCTTCTCCATTCCCATCTCCATCTCTCTCCGTCTCCGTCTCCGTCTCCGTCTTGTCCCCTAAGTAATGAGCCCTGTATGGATGTAAGACCGCGACCGTGTACCTCTACGCCTGAAATTGTTTGTGTTGCACTTCTGCAGCTTGTTTTATGGCTGCCTGGGCAGTTGCGAACGAGGCACTTGCGGGGGCAGACGAAGGTACTGGCATATCGATGAAGGTGTGGGACTCGGAGGTGTTGGTAGTGTGCAGGTCCATAGGCGCTCCCAGCTGGATTCAGAGGGCTCACGGAGTTCGATGGTCGTTCTGAATCGCAACGCAACTCGGGATTCAGACGGGGGACTGATATTACTCGATACTTGATATTGCATATTGGGAGTGTCTCTCTCGAATCGCTAGTTGAACCATCTGACGCTCCTGAGGTGTCGTGCAAGTGGAATTTGGGAGCGTTGGGTACGGGGGTATCAGGAATTCAGGACGTCGGGACGAAGAATAGGAAAAAAGGCTACAAAGGTTAATTACTTTAAGGACATTGCCTAATCCGGAGTCGAACCTGGATTACCTGCATTATTGTTTGATGTCTACGTCAGGAAAAACAGGAGCACTAACCGCTGTGCTATCAGGCCGTGCTTAGGTTGTTACTGCATGAGCTACCCGGGACGGCATACGGTTCAAAATAGGATTCAGAGGGGAAGGAGGGCGGTTTATTTTCTTCTTCAGCTCTCTTGTTTCCTATTTCTATATCCCTCCTCCTCCCATCTCGCTTCTATCCAGAATGTGAAGCGTAGTTATCAGAAGTATATACGTGTAGCCCGCAGAAAAAATGTTGTTGTTGTTGTTGTTGTTGTTGTTGTTGTGTTCGTGCTACTGTGTAAATTAAACTGAGGGATGATGGTGAACCGTCCGAGTACATACATGGTGAATCGTTCTGCGCGCGGGCTAACTCGAAGTCAGACGTCGCGCCACATCGCCGTCGGGACGCAAAGCGTGAGGGAATCTGATCCGATTCGTCGTTCGTAAGTACCGACCGGCAGGCGCTGGTGTTTCGGCGCGGGTGAGGATCCGGGAGAGCTGTGCTGCAGTACCAGTGATAACAGATCCAAAAGAAAGCGAAGTGAAGGAATGAGGACGGCCTGCCGCGATCGCGGTATCCGCCTCCGTGTGGTGTTACCGTGTTTCCTGTACTGCGAGGTGGTTGAATGCGGAGATATATGTCAAGAAGAATAAAGGACGACAAAGTTCAAGGAACTACATGTAAAAAACAGGCGAGGATGGTCTGACCCGGAGTCGAACTGGGATCGCATGCAGAAATGTCAGGGTATCCGTTTAAGAAAAGCAGGGGCATTGACCGTTATGCTATCAGTCCACATCTTCTTGGAGTACTTCACCAGCTACAGAATCAATTAGACACTGGAGTTCGAACGGGAAGAAAAGCACGAGTCGACAGCGTAAACACTGAACGGCCGTTTTGATCAACAGCTCCGGGTCCCTTAATCCTCTGTCTCGACGCAGAGAGCAGGTGGATGAGGCAGAGAGTACTTAAACTATTGGAGCCTGCGGTAGCTCGATCCAGTTGGTTCCCAAGCTTGCAAGTACTGGCTTCAGAAATGATAGTGGCGCGGAAAGGGGGTTTGCTCAATTTGTGGCAACCAATAGTAGTAGCATGTTGTTGGATGCATGTACTTTGAACACATATACAATGCATCCGGAATTGTTGAATTTCCTCTGGCAATACATAAGTACACAAAGAACCGAGTGAAAGAACGACACGCGCGACTATCACGGAAATGTGATGTGATTAGATATCGGGCCAGAGTTCCAACCTTTGTTCCCTTTGTTCTCAATGCATGCACCCCAGTGCCATGGCAAGTTTTATGGGAAGTGTCGGTCATCTGCCACGAACCCGCGCCCACCGCACTTGCCCCCAGTGTCAACATGTGCATGTGTACAGAAATGCTTTCGTCCAGTAGGTCCTTCATACTTCCCCGCAGCCACCACCGTTCACTCCCGACGGTCTGCTGGACTTCATTACCGAACCGATAGTCACACAGGACGAGGTGTGTGTGAATGTTAAAGGCTTCTTCGGTTGCTCATATTGTTGTGCTCAGTGAGCACCCGAGCTTCAGACGGCTTTTAAGACACCGCCCCCTGCTATCAAAGACGGTGATATTCCGACTTTGTACATATCCTTGCCTGTGCAAAAGAAGTTCAAGATGATCTCCGCACAATTTTTGAGGTAGCATTTCCAGCCATCACATTTTCTGGTTTAGGCTGAATCAGTGTCATACAGCGGATCCCCAGTCTTGTGAGCCTAAGTCACGACGCGTGGACCTCAGCCTCCGGGATTCCTTCCATGAACGTCAATGGTCCTACATCCACGCACCCGTCGATCGCCCAAATGACTGGGAAATGAAAGGTGCTAGCTAAACTTGACGACGAGGGCGAAGACGACCCTGAGGCTGGCCCTGCAGACTCGGAGCGGACCGCTGGCGATGCGGTTGGTAAGATCTTGGCTCTCAGCAAGCCGGTATGTTTCTATGTATTTTATTATCCTGTGTGTTAAAGTTGGATTTCAGATCCATGCATCGCCTCAAGCGCGCATTTTTCGAGAAATGTTACACTCTAGTCGGAGTTCAGGAGCTGGAGGTTCTGTTGTGGGTGCCCACTCGGTGGGCTTCTTTGTATAAGGCCTTGTCCGAACTTTGAAGGTAGGTATATCTTTTCTCGTCGGCAAGCCACTACTGATTATCCACGACAGGCTATTGATCATTTCGTCCTCATCGCAGACTCTAGCGACGAAATGCCGGCACTGCGCAACAAGAACGATCGGGATTATATGTTTACAAAGGCGGAGTGGGAGAAGATTCAAATGATCCATGATGCACTCAGAGTTCGTTTCGAGTCTTTTGTAAATTAAGCATTAAATAACAATGCGTGCAGAGGCCTGCCCCGCCGCACGAATGGGCTGCAGCGATGCCGCGACTCGCGCGGGGGTAGAAGGAGAGCGGGCCGAGTAGAACGAGAGCAGGCCGCAGCAACGCGCGTATCCGTCGTGCGCGTAGGTATGCGCGTGCATGCGCAACCGGTAGGCAGAGAACTGTGCGCGTAAATGGGGCTCAGACGACGCAGAAAGAGGAGGTGGAGGTGAACCGCGTGTGCATGAAGGAGCACGTCTCGTTCGATGCGTATAAGGCCCCAGCGCGCGAACGAGGCAGTCGAGCTACTAGAGAAGGAGAAGAGAGCGGCGGCGGGCGGGATAGTGGGGAGGCACGGGGAACCGTGCGTGCAGGTCTCGTGCATCGACCGTCGCCGGGGTACGCATACAAGCTCAGTATATATAGGAGCACAACAAGGGATGTCGCCTTGCCTGTGGAAGTCGTGCGCGAGGGTGTGTCGATTGCGGATGGATACGAGACGGACCGTGCCCTCTGTGCGCATGTCCACACCCGATGTAGGACGCCTCTAAAGACGACGGGATCTGCATGCCAATGCCCTCCCGCCCCGCGTACAAGCGCACACCCCCCTTGGTGTCTCCGCGCCTAGACGCGGAGACGGGCGCGCTCGCGACGTACTCCGCATCCGGGGTCGGTGGGGCGGTATATGCAGAGAGGGGTGTATGCGCGATATGCACGAGCGGGGTGAGGACGGGACAGCGGAGCTGCTATCCGCAGGTCATGACCCACGTCGCACGGGACGCGCTCGCACGGAACACTACGAGCGGGAGGTGGGCGATGGTAAAGGCGCTCCAGGTCTCGTTGCGTGCAGGCAGGTGTATGAGGGGGCTCGCTGCGAGGCGTATGGGGAGTAGGGTGTGTTCTGCGAAGGAGGGCGGGGCAGCGGCGTGCACATTTACATGATGTCCGAGGCGCTGGGGTGGATGTGGACGTGCGCACGATGGAGCTGGAGGGAGCGGCGCACAGCGGCGGGTGCGTTGGACGATTGCGGCTCCTGTCCGTACGCGGGGAAGTCGGTGTCAATGGGACGGTGTAGTGTCTGCATCCGCGTCCCGTATCATCGCCTCTGTTGTGGGATAGCGGCAGCTCTATCCAAATCCGAGTGGGGTGCTGTGTCCTACTCGGCTAGCGGTGGCATGTACCGAGAATAGACGGGTGGGGGTCTGGGTTACGAGACGAGAAGATGAGACGGTGTAATGCGTATTCAGCGGATGATGCGTACGATAAGAGCGGACGTCCTTTGAATTGGATGAATGAAGAGACGAGGATGCGTGTTCGCTCGGAACTAGGGCAGCTCGATATTAGCTGCTTGAGCGATTGATTTCTTGGGGCAGAGGGTTTGAATCCACGGGAAGAGAGAGCAGCCAGTGCCGCGAGACCCGCCGTGAGTAGTGAGTCTGGACATGTTGGTGGCCATGGACGGCGGATGAGGTTGATTGATGCGATTGATTGACAGCCTGAGATCTCGCAAACGTCTCTAGATCTCCTTCAAGTCGAGACACTGTCAAGGTCGACCACAAACCACCCTGGGCTTGGGTCTCAGCCGGCCTCGATGGCGGGACTTCACCTGCGGACCAAATTTTATAATCCCTAGCATTCCATTCCTTAGCGCCGTTTATCCCCCCATATTACTCCGCGGGGTCAAAGCGTGGGTTTTTGGGCGGTGTGTCTCGAGATCTCGCTCGACCTCGTCAAATTAAAAGGCCTGTCCCCGCGGCCCCAATGTTATTTAGAGTATTGAGGGATGCTGGCAAGCGTAATTTCGGGGCAATGTAAGTATCTACATGGCATGTGCCTGCCCTGCAAATCCGTCGCTCCTTTTAGTACATTCGCTACTTCCTTGGCCGTGCCAGATCGGACTTGCGAAGAAGCCACCGCGTATCATGCTGTAACGAGGCCGGGCCCGAGTTGCGCGACTGCCAGCGCTCACCTGGCACGTCGTTTACCTTGCCAGATGGCTGTCAACCAACTGTCAACCTTGCGTGATGTGAGACTTCTTGTTGGCCGTGGACCACGCTCAACACATTGCACAAGCACGCACACACTCTTCGCTTCTAACCACCATGGCCCCCCATGCATTACCGTCAACCCAGACATCTCTGGTATTGGAGTTCGCGCCGCGATCTACGCACAAAATCTTTTATGTTTCATGCCGGTCTGGGCGTATCTTCGGGATGGAACAGTCTCCCCCGATGAGATGAAAGGTGTCAAGGACCAGTCCATCGGCATGCTCGCCATCGCTTTCGCCATTCTCATTTCCACCATCATCCAGGCCACCACTGCTGCCGACGGGCAGCCGATAACCGGGTTTCATGTGGCCGTCATCCTCGATTTGAGCTGGATGAACAATACCAGCACTTGGATCTGGTTTCTGCTATATGCCCACCATCTCAGCAAAGCCGACAAACGAAAACAGCGAAGCGAGGACCGGGAGCCACGCTGCCCTCGTTGTCGTCTTGAACCGGGCAGGAAACTCATTCCTGCAACCTGGTCAGCCTGGGTCCCGGTGGTGCGCTCCTCTAAAGCCTGCCCTCGACATGTCAGGGCTGAGAGGTTCGTCTCGTGTCTTGTCCCCAATTATGACTCACCCGTCTGCAGCCTTCGCCCCGTGCTGGTCTTCCAGCCCGTGGCGGTCTTCGACATCGCCAATCACCTTTGGGACCTGTTTGTCTTCCACATCGTCGATCGCCTTTGGGACCTATTTTCACGGGAACCCGTGCTCATGCTTGGTTCCTTCCACCTCTCGCTCATGTCCGCCATTGGAATCTGGCTGTGGTTGGATCCACTCAAATTCGGCCACCCCATCCTCGGACTCTGTGATCCAACACTTACTATCGTTGGAGGCCCCGTGCCCTTCTCATCACAGCCACTGCGGATCTTTTCGTTGGCGATATATTTTCTTCTCCTCATCCCCGGCATCAATCTTCTCCCCCCGATCTTCTTTTTTCTCGCACTTCATATCACATACAACCGGTTCCGGTCGCGGTGGGACCGACAAGGTGCTATGCACATGGATCCTGAAAGCGAGTGCCCTTCTGTTCTGCAATTGACATCCCACTAACTATCCTCTGAAGAAATTCACACCGCCTTTCTGGTCGCCGGATTAGGGTTGGTCCCACAGCCACCATCGAACCCACGAACAGCTGGGAATCTGCCCCCTTCTGGACAAGTCATATCGACTTTCTGGTCGTTGGATTAGTGCTCCTTGTTGTCATCAACATCATCTTCCTGGTTGATATCGAACTCACTCTCTCCCGCAACAAGCATCTTCAATCTGGTGCAGATGGTCTGTGGGGTTTTGGGCAGGTGCTTGCTTTGCTTCTTCTCGTTATGCCTCTACGGGATGCTTGGAATGCATTACGAGATGTCCGCACAGCATGGCGCGGAGCCCAGCGGCAATTCTACCAAGCAC